CGGCTATACATATGACGATCGCCACATGCCAAACGCACGCTTTATTCATCGGTTACTACGGATGTCCTCAATGGGTTATTCTTGCTAGCTGAACTTGAACATAAACAGTGGTGTAGACCAGCCCTGTTTCTACGATTGTCACTGGGCTCGTCAACTCAACTCATCTGACTATTTTATTGGCTGTCTATCTATCGCAATTGTTATAATATGGTTAAACTGATAAAGGACGGCCCAACAGATCCGCACACTACGAGTGGTAGTGTGATAAGCCCTCTCGTGACAACCTTGCAGCGCTTTGTAGGGTAGTATTGCCTCTCTGTTACCACTCCCGGGTACTCAACCGACTATAGTCAGACTTCCATGTAACACTCGTTGATATATTGGTCCCGAGCATACAGTTCCGCATACTGCCACCCGCGACTGCTGTGCAGAGATATTCATCGAGTCTCAAATGGCTGGCTCTTGTAATTCCACCGCTTCAGTCAAACTCTTACGGCATGCAGGTGACACTCAAAATGACTAATTTTCTGTTGGAATTTTTGGAAGCCAGGTATTGATACGTACCGTCGACTTTAAGATATAGACCGGTCTTTCGCCCTAAATTACAGGACGCAGAGACTCGAAATGGAGGCCCGGGAGGGGGAGGCGGTGTTTCGCACTTCGTTGAAGCCCTTCAGAGATATCCATTGACCCGCGTGTGATATATACAATGATACTCCCTGCCGAGAGCTTGGGGCAGAAGGTGTTCGCTTGGCCAAACTACCAGGAATACACTTTGCGTTCGGTCCCCTCCAAACTCCGAAATGTAGAGAGATCAGGTGGCCAGTTCGTGGTGGACGGGTGCTCCCCGGCTCACGTCTCAAGCGCTTCTTGGGCAGTCGTTGAATTATATGACAATCGACTGACTATTGTAACAAATAGGTCAACAGTACTCTCCTTGGAATAACAGCCGCAGTAGTCGGATGGGCTTTCAGTGGTGGCGGGTGCTGTTCCTCTCATTTCCGAGGTCTTTCTTTTGCGCTCGTTGCTCTATGACACCGCTGTGACTTACATAATACTGACCTGTCAGTAGAACTCCATCCAGACTGCGAAGAACAGATATACGTTGGACTCGCTAGTGGTGACGGATGCTCTTCCTCTCCCAAATCAGGCCCTTCTTCGATATCCGTTGGCTTGTACGACGCTAATTCTGACTTATATGACACAGATGCGACCACAGCCCATCTGCCAAGGATACAAATTCTCACACGGCCCAATTCAACTGGTATAGCGGGACAATCCAGACTGTCACTCAAAAGAATACTCAAGAGTACTCAAAGGGTGGCGGAAGTGCCTCCCATGTCCCAGGCTTGGCGACACATCGGACAGTTGGGGGATTTGCTGATGGCTTTCAAGATACAGTGCATGTGGAACACGTGTTTGCACGACGCACTCTTGGCTGTTGTTGGGTGCCAGGAGTAAAATAAAGGAAAGGTGAGAAACAGAGGCGAGTGTTGACAGCATTATACCATTTCTTAGGGGTGACAAAGGCGATATATGCGTTGTATTCTGCTCATACAAGTA